GATGGATGGATGGATGATGGACAAATGAATGGATGATGGATGGATGGATGGATGGATGGATGGATGGATGGATGGATGGATGGATGGATGGATGGATGGATAATTAAATGAATGGATGATGGATGGATGGATGGATGGATAATTAAATGAATGGATGGATGAATGGATGGATGGATGGATAATGGATGGATGGATGGATGGATGGATGGATGGATAATTAAATGAATGGATGATGAATGGATGGATGGATGGATGGATGGATGGCTGAATGGATGGATGGATGGATAATGGATGGATGGATGGATGGATAATGGATGGATGGATGGATGGATGGATAATGGCTGGATGGATGGATGGATGGATGGATGGATGAAATAAAAGCTGTAATAAATCAGCAGCAACTGTTCTTTCTTCATGACTTTAAAGACCTCCAGGGGGCACAGATCAGTTGCAGCTCAACATGTAAACGGTGGTTCTGCAGCTGTGGGTCACATGTATGAGTGAACCAAAGTCCACGTGTGTGATTCTTTAAGATGGCGTTGCTCATGTTTGTCCTCATTCAACTTTAATCCCAGATTAAAGGGTCATGCTGTCCATGTTGAGTAATATCACTGCAGATCTGCTCCAAGTCTTAATTCTTTCTTTGATTAGGCAAACTTTTCTGACTTATAACAACTCTCATGTGGATAAACAAACGTCTCTCTAACGTTCAGTCAGATGACAAATTTACTGTTGGTACTTAGTCTGATTGATTTCATGATTTATATACAACACAAGAAACATAAACAGTATTAGTATTTTACTCAGAAAATGTCTAAAAAAGGTTAGATTCTGTTTATGGTTTATAAATTTGAGAAAATATAGAGAACCAACAAAGGTGTTGTTCAAAGTCTGTTTGGCACCCAAGGCAAGATTTCAGGTGGTGGCCATTTTTTAAAATCTCACTGATAATTTACATACATTCATATACCAAACAAGATAATTGTCTCTTTGATTTTATTTTTTATCTTTAGAGACAATATAATTAATTTGAAACAAAATACCAGAAGTCTACATTACACCTGTCAACATTTGCAGACAGCAGCGAGGAACACCTGTTCATGTTAACCAGAAGCTGTGGACTGAAGCAGTTCTATKGGGTTTTTTAAGCATTACATGTCCAGATGCTGTGTAGTTCCATCAGCAGGAAAAACATGATTTTACCAGAAATGTTTTGACTTTCCAATTTGACTCCTTTCTGGTCAGGTTTTATTGTAATAGTCTGCTGAATCTCATCAGAAATGCAGCAAATCCTCTTTTTTTTACACAAAACTAAACATAATAACAAAGCTTAATGCCAAGACAGAGATTTGGCCATTTTTGTAAGCGTTTATTTAAAATATTACTCAATTCTCTAATCCTAGATGCAGCGAGAACAGTTGTGGAGTCATATGATCTGGCATGAATGCAGAACAGCCAGAGGCCACAAGTTCAGTGTTTACAGAGGCTGCTGCAGACATATGCTCACATCTGGCTCCTTTTGATGGCATCATTTGCGCCCTCTCCCCTCTGTGGAGTGCAACTTCTGGGGCTGAGAGTGTAGGGGATCCTGCGGTGTGTAAAAAGTAGGCTACTGGGCTTTTTATTCAGAATGATGACGAAACTGGTGGTTGCATTATCCGCCATCCCCGCCCTGCTCTGCCTCCAGTTTGTAGGTTACRGAAAGATTTCACCACCCACAGAAAAGAAGATTAGAGAGGAATTAATGGTATTCCTTTGTCATTATAGGAACAAATTGATATTTGGATTTAAATCAGAGGGTGGGGACAGTGGGAGCAACATGTTGCGTCAGGACACATAAGCAGAGGGGATGGCACGGTTAGCAAGGAGGGATGCATGTGRACTGGAGCTCAGAGCCGGATACCTCCCCCTGATGCTCGCCACGTTACAGGAGATGACAGCACAGGAAAACGCAGACGTGTCTCCATTTTTGCATGGCAGAACTGAGAGTTGGGACATGGATGTGTCAGTCCGCAGAGGATGGGGGCAGCTGTGGCACTCCCTCGGCCAGACCCTGACAAAGTGAGAGGGACACGCGGGTTCCTCTTTGGATTTCCAGCCCTCCCTGCTCAACCATGAGACTGGCCCTCCTGGCCTTGAGACTGATGGTTTTGGCCAGGTTGTGGCCTGTCACTCAGCTCAACAGCAGCACTTTCCCCAACAAAAGGAGACACAAGGAGTTTTACGTTGGAGAGAACACCAAAGCAAAGCATGCAGGGTAAGCCAAAGAGGAATTTCCACTCCGATTTCCTGTATTGAGAAGCTTCAGTTGTTAAAACCAACAAGATTTTATTTACAGAAACCTTTTCTTTTTGCTGCTTTCCATGCTTCCTCAAATCTGRTTGCCTAATTGATCACAATGTCTCCATTAAAGCCGCAATAGATTGAGGTCACAGCAGGCAACGAGGTCATGTGACACTWAAACAGACGTGCATTTTGCTCTGAAATTTGACAGGATTTTTGCTAAACAAAGAAAAACGTATTCACAATACTCAACTCATATGTGGATTTCCTCTAGGAAGACATTGTTCAGCTCAGGGCACAGATTAAAGAGTGTCCAAACAAAATCTTTGACCCAGAAACAAGCACCAGAACCTGAAAAACTTCATTTAATTTGAAGTAAAGTTTTTAGTTTTAATCAGTCCTAAAGTAGCATCAGGTGTCACCACCTCCACCGATCATATCAGTGCTGGTACAGATTTAAAGAAAGCTAATGATTATTTMTTCCTGCTGTTTTGTTTTCCAGTCGAGTGGATCTTAAGACTAAAAAGCAAGACAGCACCAAGTCTCTGCTAATTAAATCCGAGCAGCTACTTCGGATTGAAGATCATGACTTTGCAATGCGCCCAGGCTTTGGAGGTAAGACAATTTAACCCAGTTTAGTCTTTTTTTATTTCATAATATGTTCGCATTAAGTAAGTAATTAAACTTTATTTATCTGGCACTTTTCACAGTCCAGTAGTTACAACAAGCTTCACATTTATACACAACAGAGCATAAAAAACAAATGACACAATTATAAGACATTAAAACTCATACAGCCTAAAAAACTGAGCTTTTAGCTGCTTTTTATTTTAGTATTAATGCACTTCTGTGCTTACCAGACAAGTAAATCAAGTTCATGTAGGCCAGTGTGTTTCTCCCTTAAAAAAACCCATCTATCAAAAAAAGCATCATGACCCAGATTGTCTGCTGTATGAGACAATGACTGCAGTCAGCAGATAAAATAATCTGACCTGTGTTCCTAATTCAGCGTCTGTGTGCACTTTTAAGCACAGAACATGATACATGGTTGTTCATACTTGTTTCTAATAAATCAGATACATGTAAATATGGACATTCAGAATTTTACTTTTTGCTGCTTAAACTGTACTTTATTTAGATCTTGGAACATGCTGAAACAAAGTGCTCCTATGTGTGTGTGATGTAAATGAGATTGGGGCAAGACAAAACTTTAAATGCAAACAGAAAGATATAAGCACAGACAGAAACACTGAGGATGGAAGACAAAATGGTTGTACCTGTTGAAAGATAAGCTGCTGCATTCAGGATGGTTTGTAAGTGATGCAAAGATTGTTTATCTAAACTAACACACAGGATGTTACAGTAGTCCTAGAGAGTGGTAAAACATGGAGATGATGTTCACAAATGATCCAAATCTTCTGAATGACTCTTTATAACAAACAATGAGTCACAGACAAAGTGCCTGTGACATGCATACACTTCAAATACAAAAAGTCAAAGAAAACATATTTGGCATAATACAAAATTTTACCCATTCTGCCACATAATTGAAATATTTTCTTTTGAACTTGGCTCAGCCAAAATGAAACAGGAAGTGACATCAAAGGGGAACTCTTTAAAAAAGAAAACTCTCTCTTTGTTTATTGAAACAATATTGTTGACTGTTCATCTTTATGATAGTGACTCAAAAATAATCTAAATAAACATGAGATTCTTCTCTACAGTCTGCGTTGTTGGCCATTGTAGCAAAGCTCTGTTTACATGCAAACATTCCCCTTTGACATCACTTCCTGTTACTTCACATGCAAATATCTCAACAACTGTTCATCTCAGCGGAGGGATTTTTTTTAAATTTTTTGCAATATATTATTAATGTTATCGTTCCAACAATTCATTCATATTTATTACCAAACATATATGTCACATGCACTTTAAGAGGCGTTCTCTAAATCTTGATAAGGAGATGATGTTTCACCTTGGAGATCTTAATTGGAAAAAATAATATTTTCCTTTTCTTTCTTTATAAATATATATTTTTTCTTGAATCAGCTTTCTTTTATTGGTGTTTTAAAAGGCATCACTTATAAACAAACTGTGTTATTGTGCACCCCATTAGTTTAAAGATAATCCATTCTGTTTCACTACGAGATTGCAGCTACTGACTGACGGTTTGAACTTCATTAGATAATGGCACCGAGTGAACTGGATGTTTATGGATCACATCATATGTTGAACCCATTCTGTCTCTGGATGATGACATAAGAACTTTGCCACACTTTATACGCAATGCCAAATATTTGTGGGGATTCATGCTGAGAAAAGCAGAGATTCTTTTTGAAATAAACCAAAGCAGAATGTGAACTGATGAGCGATTGTGTGGGATTATTTTTCATCTGCTGTTGACTTTGTAAGTTTTATGGAAGTTTTAATGCTGTGACCTGATTGCTGCCATAAAACACATGAACGCCAGCCTAAATTGATGATTCATGCTTCAGAAGCTGAATAATAACGGGATTCTGACCTCCATCAACATTCCTTTTTTTATTCCAAAGAAGGAAGAATTAAAAAGAGGCTTTTTTTGTTATGGCTCATACAGTAGTTCAGATGTGGGATTTGCACATGCATAACTCTGTCAGCTGTGCACACAGATTATTGTAGCAGATGTGATCCAACGACTACTTAAAGCTTATCTTTCACTTTTGACCTTTTGTAGGTTCAGCTCTTCCAGTTGGCATAGATGTTCAGGTGGAGAGCATTGACAGCATATCAGAAGTAAACATGGTACGCATTCCATTGATTCTTCAAGTAAATAAACTCTTGGGCTTGAGCGCTTTATTTGTGTTTTTACTGTRTCCTTCTTGTTGTTCAGGACTTCACCATGACTCTCTACCTGAGGCATTACTGGCAGGACGACCGGCTGGCTTTCCCCTCCAGCAGCAACAAAAGTCGAACTTTTGATGCGCGCCTTGTTAAGAAAATCTGGGTTCCAGACGTGTTTTTTGTTCATTCAAAACGCTCTTTCATTCATGATACAACCATGGAGAACATCATGCTGAGGGTTTTCCCTGATGGAAATATTCTTTACAGTGTCAGGTAAAAAAAAACTATTTAAAATAATAATCTTGCAACTATATTTGCTTTTTCTTTAATCATTAAACCCTGCTTTATATAGTCTTGAAGCTGATATTCCCAGTATTCGGCTGTAGGTTTTGTTTATTCAAGAGCAAGCAGCCATTTAGCACTGTAGTTACCGTGCGCTTTCAAACATCAATGTTGGCACGAGTGATTATAGCCAGACAAGTGACGTCAAAACCTGAGCTTGACACCATGCTGGCTCCGTCCCTCAGACAAACACGCAGACATACAGTAGATGCAGCTCCTGTGATTATGTCTGCGGCTCAGAGGCTTTTCAGCTTTGATCCCTTATACTGAAAACCAAAAAGGCAAAAAAAAGAAAGAAAGAAAGGGGTAACAGTCCAGACTTGAATGAGTAGTGTGAACAGCTAATGTTTCAGAGCTTCAACAGATATCATTTTAACATTTAACAAACACCTGCAGGCCAAAACTTTCTGTGTAGGTGTTGAAAGACACATGCATGTGCAAAAGCTGAATGGTAAATGGATGCAACATTCCTGTCTAAATAGCACGTTTAGATCATGTTAATGGAATAATCTTGGTAGAAATAAATAAATAATAATAATTGTTTTATTGTTTATTAAAGGGGGGATATTATGTTCTTTCCAAGCCTATATTTCAATTTTATACTAAAATAAAGTAACTATGTCACATTTTCAGCTATGAAAGAGCTATATATTTGTAAAAATCCCCAAAACAATTTACTTCTCATCTTGACAGTTTCTAAACGCCTTGAAATAGGTCTCTGTCTCTTTAAGAAATCTCAGCCACTTCGGTCATGCCCATTTCAGCACATAGCCTGCCGGAGCGGGGGCTCGAGCGTGAGGGCGGGCTCACGTGTGCGCTATGATGCAGTTTACTTGGCATCTAAAAATACATTTCCTCAAAGGTATTTTGAAGCTGAAAAGAGCTTCACTGAGTGAGAAGTAGTGTTAAGAGCAGCAGACAGTTTAGGTTTCACTTTCACTTTGCTTTGTTACTGCCGAGAGCCTGCAGGAGTCATGGGCGGGGTGTGTGGGGTGGGTACGTGTGTCCATGACGAGGAAGCTCGGCTTGGAAAAACGTCCCAGAGGTGTTTCTGTACCAAAAGGCATTTCTGGTCCCCACCTGTCGTTTTGCTCCTCAGCATGGCTTCCTAAAAACGCTGCAGGATTTCTCAGACATGCATGAATGAGTCAAAGCAAGGCTTTGGGCATGTTTTTTATGGGAGTATAACATTATACAAACATACATGCAGACTTTCTGTGCATTCATTCCAACGTGTTTCTGCATTCTTGGTAAATCCTGCCAACAACGCCAAAAAACTGTGTTGGCATGATTTACCTAGAATGCAGAAACACGTTGGAATAAATGCACAGAAAGTCTGCGTGTATGGTCGTCAAATTATTTAATTCTGAGCAACAACACAGCAGACGGTCAATCAGGAAGTCTGTCGTGTTGCGACTGGCTCGTCAGCGGAGAGGCAGCCAAATATAACATCATGTTGTCACATGATGCTTACAACCAATCACAGATTGGAACCATCTAACTGTGTCAACTGTGAACCATCTAACCAATGACAGGGCTGACAGCCTGGAAACACCTTATCAGAAATTAAAGAGGTCATACATTACTGGAGTCTTGAAGACTGGGCCGATAGAGTAAAACAGCCGAAACTAGTGAACATGAGACATGATTACTGGACAGTGTCAAGGTAGAACAGATATACATAAAAAATCCATAACAATAACATGATATAAAACTCAAAAAAGTTGATTTTACATGATATTGCCCCTTTAATAAATACTTCCAAAAAGTTTAAATCGTTTAACTGAGATAAATAATGTTTGTTTGTCCAAAAAGTTTGTTTTAAAGTAGAGATCTGAGAGCTTGTGCTGAAAACGGCCTGTTGAACTCTCAGAGGTGTTGTTTATAGGCCTGTGGTACATTCACTTAGAAAAATAGAGGCCAAAACTAAGTGACTAAAACTGCAGATGTTTCATAATTATTGCTTTAAACTGAGGACAGGGGAAACAAAACAATTTCTTGTTTTTTTTTAAAAAGCAAACGTGGTAAACAGACATGCCAACATAAAGCTAATTTTGGCTTAATTAAAAAAACAACAGGATGTCATGGAGTTTTTAAGAATCTCTGTTTAAAAGTGTATTTATTGAACTATCATATATGAAATAAAAAGATTATCTAGGTGTGTTTATGACTGTCAGGATTTTGAAGTAGCATCCAAACTATGTTTTAATACAAACTGTTTTACATGATTGCTTAAATATTGTGTTTGATGTACAACACATTCCAAAAAAAAAAAAAAAGCTGGGGAAGTGTCAACAAAAGACTGGGGAAGAAGAGGAATGCTCAAACACCTTGTTGGAGCATTCCAAGGTGAGCAGGTTAATTGGAAACGGGTGAGTGTCATGACTGAGTATAAAGGGAGCATCCTTGAAAGGCTCAGTCGTTTCCAAGCAAGGGTGGTGTGAGATACATCACTTTGTGAACAACTGTGTGAGCAAATAGTCCAACAGTTTAAGAACAAAGTTTCTTAACATGTAATTTCATCATCTACAGTCCATAATATCATCAAAAGATTCAGAGAATCTGGACAAATCTATGCAAGTATGTGACAAGGTTGAAAACCAACAATGAGTGCCAGTGAAATTTGATCCCTCCAGTGGTACTGCATTGAAATCTGACATCAGATATTACTACATGAGCTCAGGAACACTTCAGAAAACCATTGACAGTGAGCATATTTTGTCTCTACATCTACAAGTTAAAACTCCACCATGCAAAATCACAGCCACATATCAACACCCAGAAATGTTCTTCTCTAGGCCCGAGCTCATCTGAGATGGACTGACGCGAAATGGAAAAGTGTCCTGTGGTCTGACAAGTCCACATTTTAAATTGTCTTTGGAAATCATGGAGGTCATGTTCTTCAGGCCAAAGAGGAAGAGGACTGTCTGGACTGTTATTAGTGCAAAGTTCAAAAGCCAGCCTCTCTGATGGTATGGGGGTGTATTGATGCCCAGGGCATGGGTAACACATCTGTGAAGTTACCATTAATGCAGAAAGGTGCACACAGGTTTTGGAGCAACATATGCAGCCATCCAAGCCACTTCTTCAGGGACGTCCTTGCTTATTTCAGCAAGATAATGCAAAGCCACATTCTACATGTGTTCCAACAGCGTGGCTTCATTCTAAAAGGGTGCGGGTACTATACTGACCTGCCTGCCTTCCAGATCTGRCTCCAATTGAAAATGTGTGATGCATRATGAAGRACAAAATACATTGTTTGTCTTAATTTTCTGAGTATTTATTTAACCGTATGGTTTGTTTTAGGATCACAGTGACCGCACTTTGCTCAATGGACTTCAGTAGTTTCCCTCTGGACACACAGAACTGCTCTCTGGAGCTGGAGAGCTGTGAGTATCAAGCTAAAGTTGGGACATAAATACTTGCAAATACCTGATTAAATATTCAATGTTGTTTCAGGAAAAAAAAACATTTGTAATTCCAGGATTAAATATATTTTAATTTGTTTCACTGGTAAACATGTTACACAACATTTGGTATTATACAATTTTGGAGATCAAAATTGTTGCATAGAAGTCACTTTGCAATTTTACAGCAAGTATATAAGCATTGTACAAAATACATTTACACACTTTATCAACAAAGAATAATCTTTGCAGATTGATTTTGACAATAATAATGACTTTTTAGAAAAAAAAAAAGCTAGGTTCTTTTATTTTTCTGGCCTATTCTCTACATTAGTCTTCATATCCACCTCAGAWTGATAACATAAATATCCCTCTCTTCTGTTTTTAAGATGCCTACAATGAGAACGATCTCATGCTCTACTGGAAGAATGGAAACGATTCATTACGGACAGATGAGATTGTGCTCTCTCAGTTTTTTATTGAAGACTTCCAGCCTTCCTTTGGACTTTCCTTCTACAGCAGCACTGGTATGAGAGGCCCTCAGGGGCCCTCAGAGTTGCTTACACTTCCAAACAACCAAAGGGCTCCTGATCTGTTTCGTTTTGTTATTTAAATCTAAATAGAGAAAGTTTTTAGTATTTATATTTACTTCAACATAACTTGTTTTTGATCCCTCCTCTGTTTTAGGTTGGTACAACAGACTTTACATAAACTTCATCTTAAGGAGGCACATCTTCTTCTTCATGCTTCAGACGTACTTCCCTACCATGCTGATGGTGATGCTGTCATGGGTGTCTTTCTGGATAGACAGGAGGGCCGTCCCTGCCCGTGTCTCTCTGGGTATTGAAACACATAACTCAGTATGTTCAATAACAAGTGTTGTGAAGAAATTAGTTCAAAGAAAAATAAATATGTTTGCTGACTGTAATGTTTGAGCGGCGTATTTAAAATAAAAATAATCACTACAGGCTATTCATGGTCAAACTGTGAATGATGGTAATGTATTTTTTTAAGATATCAACATGAATCTGTATGTCAATTATTTTATATAGCYCATAAAAACAGGAGTTGACCAATYTGCTTCACAATTCAGCCAAATAAACATTAAAAAACAAAGAAACACAGAAATGTGCAAAATAAGTAAAACTAATGTAAACTACAAAAATACTACATAAAGACATCAGCTCTAGAAGAATCTCAAACTCTGCCAGAATCAAAAGCCATGTAAAGATGGGCGTATATATTTCAAAGTGTCTACAGTCTCAGAGGGACAGAAACTATAAGAGCTGACCACCTCTGAATTTTAGCTTGGATATAAGATCATGTAAAAAATGTTTGGCTGAAATGCTCTTACTGGAACGTAAATGCTAACTAGACATAACCTCCATTCATCCATCTATTTACATAACCTGCTTATCTTCAGCTATCCCTGGGTAGATAGATGGGTGATGACCAGGTCATCAGTCACTAGTCAGTTTTCAGACTCTGGGACCACATAACTTTATGATGAGCCCACCCACTAGAGCTGTCACTGAAGTGTAATGGAAAACTCTTTTACTGTGAAAATACAGACTTTGGCTCCAAGTCTATTTGGTGCTGGAGTAAACTCAGGTTTACAAACTGTATTATTACGACACGTGCAAACATTAAAGATCATTCTTTTTTTTCAATTCAGTTCTTTATTCATT